TATTAAGAAATCCAATGGCTTGACATCTAGTCAATAGTCCCTGAGATATGTTATAGGTAAATTTTACTATGAATGGGTGCCAATGAAGAAAGATTCGATTGATGACTCCCATGATGTTCGACATCTTGGAGAACCTTCCAAAAGATCCCATCACTAATCAGCTCTATCCTCTTTAAGAGGAAATTAACCCCAACCTCAACTATTTAAAACTTCTTCATGCCTGACACTACTCCAAAAATTTAATGGAGGCATTGCTCTGAAATATTGATGCAAGAAGAAGAAGAAGAAGAGATGGTGGAGATTGGGTATCGATTTGCTTGTATATCACTCTTGGATATCAATCTTGATGTCACGGTAGGGATGCAAACGAGTCGAGTCGAGCTCCAGTCAGAGGGTGTTCAAGTCGAGCTTGGTTTTCAAATACCGAGCTCAAACTCGAGTCGAGCTCGACTCGCGACAGTGTAACGAGTTAATCGAGCCACTCGACGAGCCGCTCGATTTTCCAATCTTCATTTCGGCTTCCCAGTTTCCCGCTTGGTTTCCCGCCCAATTTTTGTCTTTCCACCAGGTTATCATGGCTGCGGCTTTGAAAAAGATGCAAATTTCCTCATATAATAAATGCTATTGCTTTGGGATATGACTTTTTAATCATATATATATATATATATATATTGAAAATTTTACTGCTTTAGTAATGATAAAGCTGCAACATTAATTTCACTAGTTTTTGAAAATCTCACAACCGCATGAATGCTACCACTTTGGAAAATGTTACTGTTTTTTAGTGTTTAAACTTTATTTGAACTTCACTTAAACATTAATGATGTTGCTTTGGACTTTTTAGGTTAATTTAATAAACAATTTAATAATTAAAAAAATCAAACATTAATTCGAGCCGGCTCACGAGCTCATGAGCCAAGCCTCATCGAGCTCGAACTCAAGCTCGTTTACCAAACGAGCTCGAGTTCGAGCTTGAGCCGGCTCGTTTCACTTGCACCCTATGTCACAGCGATGCAGCTATCATTCCTCCTGAGAGCCAATAATAACAAAGGCAAGAAGGGTAAAATGAGTAAATCCTCCATATAAAAGTCAGCAAGAAGAATAGAGAGAAGGATAAGAAGAATTAGTAGTCATTGTTGTTGCTGCTCTATTCCGAGCACAAAACCAATGCAGTGCCAAAGAAAGCTAAATATGAGATATCTCAGTTAAATGCCAAGATGGATACGTTGACACAACTAATGCAAAAGAATGTCATTGTCAATCTGCCCAATCAACCTTAGTGACATCTAGCGATATCCTAGCCAATCCACTAATCAGTCCAACACCCCAAAATTTGGACTCAACATTAGCAGAAACTTCCCTTTTGTCTACTGGCATTGTTGAAATTTGCTAAGTCAATCTACAAGTATTGATCTTGTTAGTTGTCTAAGATGATTTTGTTAGAACTTCAAGTTTCTACTATATCATAGATGGCTGATTTGAACAAAGATTGTGTTAGACTGGTCCATTGGACCGGTTTAGCTAGTCCGCATGGGACCGGCCCAGCGCAACAAAGGTGGGATCTCCGCCCCCTGCGGAGATCGAGCGGTCCGAACGCCTAAGCGGAGCAATTTAGGAAGGATTTTTGAGGGATTTGAGAGGGAAATTTGAATGTAGGAACTGTTTAGGGATTTCCTTTTGATTTCTATGCATTAAATACTTTGTTTTCCTAGGGTTAGGGCATCTTGAATTTGGGTTGAAATTTGAGATCTCTTAGATTTAGGTTTTCTTTGGGCTCTAGCGGCGTTTAGAGATTTGGGAGAGATCGATCCTCCTTCGAATAGAGGATCAATTGTATCTTGTTATTTTATGTTTCCCTTTTATCAAATAATACAAAATATCTACTATTTTTCGTGTTTTTTTTTTTTGCGGATTTTTGTGTAGAAGCTCGCTGTTTTCCGAAGATTGATAGGACATACTTGAGATCTACAAGTACTTCATATCAAATTGGTATCAGAGCACGTCGATCGAAGAGGAACCAATGGACGGAAGGAAAGTGGAAGTTTTGGAGGGAGAACTTGGGCAACTCAAAGCAGATTTTGAGGAAAATATGGCTGATTTTCAAAGTCAGATTGCATCCGTCAATGAAAAGATGGAGGAAAAGTTCGCCATGGTGGAAGACATGTTGAAGAAATTGCTTGAAGTCAAAACCAAACCGGTGACATCGGAAGCAAAGGAAACTACCGTTAGCTATGGAAGAGATGGGAACCCTAATACGTCTAGGGGAAGGGAAAAGCCAGAAGTAGAGATCCTAGAGAGAGAAGATGTAATGCCTCATCTAGAGCCACTTTCTAGAGAGGAGATGAACATTGGCTACGCAAGAAGGGGTGCTGAATTTGTAAGTAGAGGGGTTGATTTTGATCGTCGAGGTGCTGATTTTGAAAGAAGAATAGGAGATTTTGATGAATGGTTTGGGCATAATCGTCGGAGAGAAGATTGTGACAATTGGGGAGCATTTCCGCTTCTAGGAATGGGAGGTCATAGAGGATTTAGGGGACATTGGTGTGACCCGAGGGTGAGGAAACTGAAGATGCCAATCTTTGAGGGGGAGGATGCGCATGGGTGGATCTACAAGGTAGAAAGATATTTTGTCGTCTATGGGCTAACAGAGGAGGAGAGATTGACAGGGCGGGCCTATGTTTAGAAGGGAAGGCTTTGTCATGGTATCAATGGAGGGACATGCGACGACCCATACGGAGTTGGAGAGAGTTCAAGGATTGTTTGGTAGAATGTTTCCGAACTGGTAGAGGAGGAGACTTCTACGAGCAGTTCTTTGACTTGACACAGGAGGGATCAGTGACAGAGTACTGGGAGAGATTCGAGTAACTTTCTAGCCGATTGGATCGCCTTTCTGAGACAGTGTTAGAGGGAATCTTCATGAAGGCATTGACACCAGAAATCCGAGCAGCGGTTAGAGTAATGAGGCCTCGTGACTTGGGAGAGGCTATGGAGCTAGCTCAATTAGTAGAAGACCAAAGACACCTGGTGGGAGAGACGGGTGGCGGCAGCTCGGAGGCTCATACAGGATGACCACCACCTTATTTAAATCCAAGGAGCCCACACCGGATACTCTTCGGGGGACTTCGAAGGAAAAGACTGCAGGAGGAAGACCTAAGGACAACTTAAAGAAACTCACAGAGACAGAATTATAGGAGAAGAGGGCGAAGGGATTCTGTTTCAGATGTGATGAGAGGTATATGTCGGGGCACAGGTGTAAGGACCGAACTCTTCAGGTTCTTACCATTTGTGATGAAGAAGGAATGGAGGGTGTCATCTTTCCACCCTGTGGACAAGGTGGATCTTTGGGAGAGGAGTATTGTCGGACCGGCCCAGTGCAACAGAGGTGGGATCTCCGCCTCCTACGGAGATCAGACGGTTTGAACTCCAAGCGGAGCAATTTAGGAAGGATTTTTAAGGGATTTGGGAGGAAAATTTGAATGTAGGGACTGTTTAGGGATTTTCTTTTGATTTGTATGCATTAATTACTTTGTTTTCCTAGGGTTAGGGCATCTTGAATTTGGCTAAATTTTGAGATATCTTAGATTTAGGTTTTCTTTGGGCTCTAGCGGCGTCTAGAGATTTGGGAGAGACCGATCCTCTTGAATAGAGGATCAATTGTATCTTGTTATTTTTCATTTACCTTTTATCAAATAATACAAATTATCTATTGTTTTTGTGTTTTTTTTTTTTTTTTTGGTTAATTTTTGTGTAGATGCTCGCTGTTTTCTGAAGATTGATAGGAAATACTTGAGATCTACAAGTACTTCCTATCAGATTGCTAACCAGACTAAAATTATAGATTCAATTACATAGTGTTAATTTTACAAAACTTGTCAAAATTAGGTGCTTTGTGGTTGATTATGTGAATTAAGATTAGGATTTATGTTTCATGAGAAAAAATATTAAAATATTACTTTTATATGTAAGTATATCACTTGTAGCTAGAAAAATTTTGTTGCCTACAGTTTCTTGTCTTTTGATTTCAGCAAAATAACTAGCTGTGAAGTATTAGCCACTGTAGCAGGTTCATATTCTAATAGTCAAAATCTTAACTATCGAGATATTGTTCTCTTTAACCTAACTCATTCTAGGAGTGATTTTGTATTAGCACGCTTAATTTTGAAGTTTCTAATAAAATTTTAACTTTTAACACTGAAAGATATTTTGATGTTTAGAGTTTTACTTCACTCTTAAGAGGTTTCAAAATTTTCCACCAATTCAATAGCCGATGCCCTCATTAGTATTCTTAGCCTAGAATTATCCAACAAATATAATTCTAGGGATGGCCCCTACAAATTCAAGAGGTGGCTCTCTTCATATAGCTCCTTGTCCCATCTAAGGTTTAAGAGGTGACTCCCTCCCTATATAGTACTTAACTCTCATCTTTCGGCTAGTGTGTTGCTCTGATACCATTTGTAACAGCCTAAACTTTTAACCATGAAGATATTATTTACTTGGCTTAATAGCCTCATGATTGTATTCCATTGGTGCAACTTATCAAGAGATAACCTATAATAGGAGTGCTCCTATATGAGTGCGCTTGACATTGAAGTTTGATGAAATTCCAATTGTTAAACTAAATGGCACCTCGAATTTTAGATTTTAGCTTAAGTCAACTTGAGGGGTTTTACCAATATGGTGATTGCCTATTATCTGTATTTTGTTTTTGGATACCCTTAATATGTTTTTATCAGGTGTCTAATGCTCTGTCCATATGATATCCAAATAAACCATAGCCTAACCAGCATTTGCTTTGAAACAAGTTCAAGTTCTTCTGGGGCATATTATGTTGAGTCAAACTAAACAAAATGTGCAGTTAGTTTAATTTTGATTAAAAAAAAAATAATGGTGTACATTGCTATTAATGTTTCACAGGTTTTATCTTTTAGCTTGCCTAATTGTAGGCATTTCATTGCCTTTTTGTAGGCTTTGTTCAAACCTCCAAAAGGAATACGGGGCGGCATCCCTATCTGTTTTCCACAAGTATTACCTAAAATGCAATCGTACAATTTCCTAGTGATTTAGCTTTATTTTCGTTTTGTTGACTTTTGCCTCAATGGAAATTGGGATGGAGGTCGGAGGACTTGCAAACTTTGAACAACATGGTTTTGCGAGAACCCGAGTTTGGACTATTGATCAAAACCCACAGCCTTTGCAAGAAAGCAACAGTTATAGGGCTTTTGTTGATTTAATTCTTAGGCCATCTGAAGGTGATTTCAAATTTTGGCCACATAGGTTCGTTCATTCCCTTTAAATTCCACATTCTTCTCCAAGTACAACCATGATTATTTTGTATCTGCAGTTTTGAGTTCCGACTGAGGGTTGCTCTGACACCTGGAGGGGATATTATACTTGTATCACGCATAAGAAATACCAATAAAGATGGAAAGCCATTTACATTTACATTTGCGTTCCATACGTACTTCTCTGTTTCTGATATTTGGTGAGTGTATGATCTTGCTTTTTTTTTAAGTACCAAATATTCTTCAGTTGTTCTTAAGAGTTACTACATCATTTTCCAAGTAAATAATGCGTCCTGATGCAATTGGAGTAAAGGGAAAATGCATGTTTATTGAGTACTCCAAAACATGTCATTCTGTTGCGAATTTCTGCCCCTTTCTGTTTAGTTTTACTATATAGGCTCCAGCAATGTACAATGAAGTGCATGACTTAGGGCCTCTTCTCTCGGATGATCATAGCATTGTCAACTTCTAGCAATCATCCAAGCTTAGTATTTTTATGTAGATGCTACTGTGTTCAGTTCACTTGGTCAAATATGCTTGGATGCCTCTTATGCTAGCAAACAATAAAACAACAACAATATCAAGCCTTTCTCTCACTATGTGGGGTTGACTACATGAATCTTTTTTCTTTATTGTGGCCTATTATGAATCAAATTTTCATTTAAATCTAATGAAAAAGTCATTCTAATACTTTCTAATCAAGTATTTTTGGTTTTCCTCTCCCTTTCTTAACATAGGCCAAATCTAATGCATCTACTCTTCTAACTTGGTCATTGAAAGGCAAACATTTTATGTGACCTAACCATTTAAGACATCTCTATCTATTCTTATCTACCATTGGAAGTACTCCAATCTATTCATTTATATACTCGTTTCATATTATGTCTCTAAGTATAATTCTGAAATTTTTTTTACTATACAATATTTTTGGTTTTTTTTTTTTAATTTTTATTGCATGAATTTCAATGGTACAGGTTCAACCTTTAATGTTTGAGAAAATGATTAAAATGGTCCCTTAGCTCTTTATACAATATTTTTGTTTTTTATTTTATTTGTATTGCCATCGGCAAAGCTAAATCGCACATTACCATGTTCCCACGTCTACTTCCAACTTGGATTTTCCAACTCATGTGACTATCACTTCCAATTGCAAACCCCTGAAGTCGAGAAAGCCTTCGTTCCGCCTCTTGCGTGTGAGCGCAAGACCAAACTCGTCTCCCTTCTCACACGCTCAATGACTCCTACTTCATCGTTCGTGTTTGACCCCTGCCGGTACGAACCTCCCGACACTAAATCACGAACGACCTGCTCCATCTAAGTAGGCACACGAACAACTTGGTCGATCCCTACCAAGTGCGCCGAGCACCTCAGTTCGTTTCCTCCCTCACCTGCGTTTAATCCATGTACTTAATACGTGAACCCCACCTCCCATTCGAATCCGACTTTGCTCGGCACCTCCGACTCTGCTTGGCACCTCCACACACATGGACAATAATCATCCTGTCTTCGTCTTCTCCGTTTCAGGTGAACGAAGAGCAGAAACCACACCTCATATAGTTCTTCCATGAACAAACAAATCGAACCTCCCTGTTGTTCGCCCCTCTATACGCTCACATGAACCAGGCCTCATGCCCCCTCTATTCACAAAGAACGAGCCCTGCCGAGCCTCCCTTTGTGTCTGATTTCACCCAAGAAAGCAAGCATGAAGGCCTTGAGCCTATTTTGTTCTATAAACGAAGTCGGTCCCGCTCTGTCTTCTTGAATTTGTGTGTGGGTAAGGATTGTGTATGTGATTATTGTTATAATAATAATAATAACTATTATTATTATTATTATTATAAATAAAAATAAAGAAAAAAAAGAGACGTCGCAATCATCAATTGGAAGACTCGAAGACTAATTCCACGATCGATTCTTCCTCCGAAGCCCTCGATCGTCGACTTTAATCTGATCAAGCAGACTTGAAAGGGCAAGTACCCTCCCCAACCTCCCCTCGTGAGGAGGGGGCGTCGATGTAGCCGATCCCACATAGTGGGATAAAGGCTTGATATTGTTGTTGTTGTTGTTGTAAAATCTAATAAATTAATTACTAATTAATTAAATTAAATATGAGATATTAATTAAATTAAAAAATTAATTAACCTAATTGACTACTTAATATCAAAACAAAATTTAAGATTGAACAATTAATGTAAAATTTAATTTAATTTTCTAATTAATTAAAATAAAATCAAAACTCTAATTAATTAAAGTAATTAATTTAAAACTAAATCTTTTAATTAATAAAACAATTAATAAAATTTAAATCTTTAAAATTAATTAAATTAATTGAGTAACCCATTTAAAATTTAATTATTTTAAAACAAAAAAAACAAAAATGAATAAAAATTAAAATTTCAATCAATTAAATTAATTGAGTGATATATTAATGAGTTAAGTAGTTAACTTTAAATTAAAATTTAAACTTTAAATTAGTTAAAATTTAAACTTGAAATTAATTAAAATTTAAACTTTAAATTAATTAAATTAAAACATTAAAAAAATCTAAAAAATACAGTAGAAGAAGCAATGAGGGGATAGCCACTCTGGTGAAGTTATGCATTTTTAATTAAATAATAAAAGAACAAAAAATCAATGATCATACCATACAAACCTAAGTACAACGCACACCAACTAAAACTCAAACTCCTAAAACTAAAATACCAAACACAAAGAAAGTATTAAAACTCTAAGCAAACCTCTCCAAAACTCAGCTTCAGCTCTCCAAGCTCTAGCTCCTGGCAAAACCCAGTAGCTGCAAACTCCAGCTCCTATAAATGCTAGCCTCGAACATTTGCAAACAAGTAAATAAAAGTCAGTATATGGTGTTAAATAAACCTAGCACTGAAAGAAGAAAACTAGTACTTACAAAAGAGAAAACGAGTACTTCAGCAGTGAAACAAAACACTAGTGTTGGTGTCGAGGTAGTGTGCAAAACTATATATCTGTTGTTAAAATCTTGCTAAGTTAAACCCTATAGATCACTTCTAATAGAAACAGTAAATCCTACTGATAACTATTTCACTAAGTCCATTGAGTGAAATAGTGAACACATAAAATTAAAACCCGACAACTTCTAGTAGAGGTTGTAAGTCCGACTTTAGTTAATGCATTAGGGGAAATCTCTAAGTAAAAGTAACATGACCCATTCTTAATCAACCGATGGGCTACTTCTAAGCATAGCAGTAAGACCCATTCTTAAGTATAACCGGGCTACTTCTAATTGAAATAGTTAGACCCACTCTTAATCAATTCATTAGGGAACTTCCATGAATTAAAGGACCTTATCCAAACATACGAGCTACTTCTAATAGAAGCAGTAAGATTCACACTTAATCAACATGCAAGGGATTCTTCTTAGTGAAGTAAACCAATCCTGGACCCCCAACACACGGGTTACTTTCAATGAAAGAAGTAAGTAATACCTAACTTCTCAAACCTACCGGTTGCTTTTAAGAGAAGTAGTAAGACCCATATCTTGAACAAACCTAAAAGCTACTTCCAAGGGAAGATGTAATACTTGTTTTATTGGCTACTTTTAATGAAAGTCATAACCCCTGAGCCAAATCTACGGGAAACTTCTAAGTAGATCCATAAGTCCCAACCCAAACTAAACCATCATAATACTAAAATTCATAAATAATTACTTTAGTTTACTAAGGATTCTGATGCGGACCGCCGCCGACCGGCAGAGGAAGAGCCGGCGACCCCGGAGCACGCGGCATCGGCCGGGAAGGAGACCGCGCGGGCCGATCCGCCGAAGGCGACGCGGGCGCGGGGCTTGACGCGGAGCGGAGCGGGGGGGTCGGCTTGAGCGGAACCGGTCCATTTCTGGACCGGTTTGGCTCGGGTCAGGCCTGAGCTGGGCGGTTCAGCTTGGGCAGCCCACTAGTGGGTTTGGTTTGGTCTATAAGTAGGGATTAAGGGGGGATTTCTAGGATTATGCAAGAATTGAGTTTTCTCTTAGCCACCTTAGTTCCTTTCTCTAAGTTTTCTAGGGTTTGTAGTGGGAGACCTTGTCCTTCTCGAAGTGGACAAATTGTATCTTATTTCTTTTGGATTTATAATGCAAAGGTTCTTGTTCTTTCTCTCATCCCTCTTGTGTTTATTTTTCTTGGATTTGGTGGAGAAATCTTTTCTTTGAAGGAGCATTAGGGCAAACCCAAACTTGGGAACCCTAGGGCGTATCAGATTCCTGAGAGGAGGCGACCTATGGGTGCTAATCAGATACCTGGACACTACGATCAACGATCGCTAGTGGTGGTAAATTGAAATCTATAGTATACCCGGGACAACGAAACCATGAAATCTTAATCGGGTTTACCTCCATTTCCATCATTCATGAGAGTAAAACATCTAAAATTATTTATCCTTAATTGAGAGTTCTCTTTTATACAGTAAGAGGGGTAATTAACTGTGGACTTGCGCTCATTGGAAGTAAGGATCTAGATCTAATTATACCCTTGATACACTTATGGAAAATCTGGTTACATACAATCTGCTTTAAAGAGAATGGAATTCTAAGACTACAAAGCGGGATTCATGCCTCCATGTTATTCTTCTTGTGTGAAACATTGATGTGCATTACTTCTCTCTCCATCTTTGGATGAAAAAAGAATTTTTATTTAATCTCAGACATCTAAAATAAGTATAGATATGCATTCATTGCAAGTTTGAATTATGGTTGACTATAATCCCTACAAGTTCTGTGATAGGTTGTCGAATATGATGTTTGTTAACTCAATTATGAATGTGAAACTAGGCGAAGGAGCGAAGTTGCAATTCCCTCAAGCCATTCTGAACACAGGCCGTGTTGGAGCAACCGTCCAGTTTAAAACTATCTTCGAAGTGATACAATTCTTCCCTCATGCCAATGATGATGCACTAATATTTGACCCAACCTGAAACTCAACCCGGAATCGAACCGAAAAATTATGGGTTCAGGTCAACCCGTTTTTCATATAGGTCGGGTTCGGGTTAACAAGAAAACCCAGAAATGACCCAAATTGACCTCCCGCAGCTGACACCCATGTTTGTGAGTCACGAGTCACGATTGAGCAGGCGAGTAGCCCACCCTAGCCCTTCTTCCCGTGCTTGCATCGCGTACGCTATCGGACGACCTCTCGTCCGCTGCTGACTCGCGCTCGCATCGCAGCCTCGC